AGTTTCATTAAATCCTTTAACCGCCCGGATGGCGGTTATAGTCAAACGTGAGGGTTTACTGTGTAGCAGAAGGAGCCGATCAGAGCGAACCAAGGTCAACTCAACCCACTGGAGGGATGAACGTGCGCTTGTGTTCCCAGTGCCATGGAGTACAATGCAACGCCTGTAGATTTATCTTGGCGATAATATTTTGAACCTTTGTTATTGAAGAAAATAATGTTGTCAGAGTGAGCTCAGTCACTCTCAGTGTAGCTTGGCTAACCAACACGCATCACTCGAGGGACGAGTGTGTGCGTGTGGGTGTGCATGTGTGTGTATCCAGTGGCGAGAAGTGCAGTGCAATGTCCGTATACTTCTCGCATCGATAATAGTTAAACTTGGTTAGTCCAGATAATAGTTTTGTCTGAGTGATCTTCATCACTCCCAGTGTAGTGCATATGAGAATGAAAACACATGTCATTATTGTTGTCTGACGTAAGTGCAGAACACAATTAGCGATCATAGTTGACTGAAGTTATATTGCTTTGTAAATAACCCAAATATCAAAGTAAAGTTTGTAATGATTTCAGGTGCGAGTGTTAGAGTGGGCATAGTGAGTGCCAGGTCGACTGTAGCGAAAACAATGAGACAAAGAACGTGCCCTGATGGGTGAGACGAGGCGCACGAACGTACCCTGATGAGTGAGACAAGGAGCACGAACGTGCCCTGATGAGTGAGACAAGGAGCACAAACGTGCCCTGATGAGTGAGACAAGGCACACGAACGTGCCCTGATGAGTGAGACAAGGCGCACAAACATGCCCTGATGAGTGAGACAAGGCACACGAACGTACCCTGATGAGTGAGACAAGGCGCACGAACGTGCCCTGATGAGTGAGACAAAGCGCACGAATGTGCCCTGATGAGTGAGACAAGGCGCACGAACGTGCCCTGATGAGTGAAACAAGGCGCACGAACGTGCCCTGATGAGTGAGACAAGGCGCACAAACATGCCCTGATGAGTGAGACAAGGCACACGAACGTGCCCTGATGAGTGAGACAAGGCGCACGAACGTGCCCTGATGAGTGAGACAAGGTGCACGAACAGATGTGATAATTATCCAAGTAGAAGCCTTTTGTGCAAAGAAAGAGGTTTCTTGGCACTATTGAGAAAAACTACTGGGTCTGTTGAATTTTGCCACAATAGCGGTTGCTTTGGGAAAGTTAAGGAAGAAGCAACTAACTCATCTGGGGTTGAATTTGCTTCACAGAAACAGAAATTTTGCTTCTTCTCTCCTTATTCACAAGAATCTTCTGTCTTGGTGGAAAAATTGGGACAATCTAATCGGTTCCTCTCCCTGGGTTCCGCCTCAAACAGACTTGGTTGTTTGTACTGATGCATCCGAAATAGGATGGGGATACCATTCCTCAAAAGGGGAATTCAGTCAAGGGAAGTGGAGCAACACCTTTGGGACAAACACATAAGCATAAAAGAATTACCGGATAGCAGTGGTCCTATTCTATTTGTTGGCAAACCCAAATTTTAAAAATATGACGATCCTGTTTGCCATGAACAACAAAACAGCAGTCTTTTGTCTCAATCATCAAGGGTCAACAAGGTCTTGGCCACTTCTAAAACTATCAGAAAAAATTTTCAGTATTTGTGCAACACAAACACTTTACCTCAAAGCAACTCATATACAGGGAGTATAAAACAATTGGGCAGATGCGTTGTCCCGTCTCAGGCCAGTATCGACAGAAACAGAATGGTCCCTAAAGGTATCAGAGTTCAAGAGTCTAGTGAAGAAGTTTGGAACTCCAACAATAGATCTCTTTGCCTCCCTAAAAAATCATAAGATGCCACTTTATGCATCTCTGGAACGATCGAATCTTTTAGGAAATGCTCTACTTATAGATTGGATCCGTTATAATTCAATCTATCTGTTCCCACCTATGAAAATATTGCCCAAAGTGGTTCACAAACTCAGATCCTTTCAAGGCAAGGTCCTCTTAATTGCACCATATTGGATCCTACAACCTTGGTGCCTGGATCTGTTGGACTGGTGCCCGCATCCACTACTATTGAAACAAGGATGTCTAGACCAGGTACTGCATTTGTGTTAGAATTTTTAGAATTTCTGTTCAGAGTAAAAGGCCTTCAAGGATCAACAATTGCATCTTATAAATCAGCATTGGTTGACCCTCTGGCGTGGGGTTTTAATATTACCTTGAACCCATTCAGACCCCCCCCTCGGCCTAAGAGAATCTCACCTTGGTCTCCAGAAAAAGTTACTAAATTTCTGATGGGGCCTAATTACAATATAAATCTGAGTAGGGACAGATTGCCAAAGAAGGCAACCTTCCTTCTAGCAATAGCAACGGGTATGAGAATCAGTGAACTGATTTCAATTTCCAATAATCCATCATTATTGGTATTTTCTGAGGAAGATGTTACCCTTTTTCCTATGGAGATCCTAAGAAAAAATGAAAGGGAGGATTTTCAGCTCAACCTATTAGGATAAAACAGCTAATGGATGAGACAAGGGTTCCTCATATATTGTGCCCAGTTAAAAATCTGCAGGAATGGTTAAACCAGCTTCCCTAATTGAGGCCCCTATGTACAGTGGTCCCTTGGTTAACGAACACAATTCGTTCCAGAAGGTTGTTCGTTAACCGAAAATTTCGTTAACCGAATCCATTGTTTCAATGGGATATTGGGCAATTGGTTCCAGCTCACAGAAAAATACATACAAAGTGAAAAAAAATGCAGTAAAGTACACTTACTTTGAGGTGTGTATGTGGAAGGCTTCTGGTTGATGATGATGATGATGATGGGAATTAGAAGTGGGGTGGAGGAGAAGGGAAAAGAGAAGGAAGTGGGGATGGAGGAGAAATCAACTTTCAGGGGACCCATGCTTGATGCAGTCATTTCACCAATAAAATTTTAAGTTCACTAGGTGTAATTCAAGATTATTTTCTTTAAATCAACACTGCACTGCACTATATATTATCAATATGTTAATAAAGTTCAGAATGATCAATAATTTCAATGAAAAATGCAAAAATATTCAAGACACCAACAAAATAGATGCTCTCTCCACTGTAAACAATGCCTCAACTGACGCCTTGTGACCGATTCACGCATCTGATGGGCACACAACAAACTAGTTTCCTGTACTGCATATATCATCAATGTTAAAAAAATTTTAAAATGACTAATAATTTTAATATAAAACATGCAAAAATATTAAATAACACAACTTTATTGATATTTACTTCATTGGAAACGAATGTAAACATAGAATAGATTACTGAATGGGCAGACTAGCCCATCAGCTGATGCTCACAACAAAACGTGATTTTCGTAAGGATTTTGTTAATCAAATTTTTGTTTGTTAACAGAATTGGTAATTCGTTAACCGAAATTTCGTTAACCGAACCGTTTGTTAACCGAGGGACCACTGTATTCTCATCACAGGATGGTCTGTGGCTTTTCTGCAGCATATGAGCCTCAGTCAGGACCTTCTTCCTCATCAGAATAAAGTGAGTATCCTCATTGGGATATGTAAATTAACATTTTACCTTCCGGTAAATGTTCCTAATATTTGAAAATATTCCAAACGGTTTATAATCATAATCTGGACCTAAGCTAGCGGAGCTTTCTATGCAATGTCACCTCCCTCTCCACCTCCTGCTCGGGTATTCAAGCTAGGCGTCGCATTCTGGATTGAACAAAAGGCCGTTTTTTTATTAAAAACAATTTTTGTGATATACGTAGTCCAGAATGCAACGCCGATAACCCACCCATCTCCACCCCTCAAGAGTTGACTTTGTTTACTGCTCACTCTAAGGCAAGAGATGATGGTGGCAGTGCGTGTGATGGAGGGTGCGGGAGAGGGTTTTGAGAATTGCAAGTAAATGCCAGGTAGCAACGTGTCCTCCTAATATTACGTTTTAAGTACAAGGAATTATTAGATGTTTTAATTGCCTGTATGTTGGCCTGGAGAGATATTGCTAGGCATTAACATACCTAGGTATAAGCTAGGCATCGCATTCTGGACTACAGTATATCACAAAAACTAGTTTTTAGAATTTTTTTTTTATGTGATTTTTTCTCAGCTCTGACTGCTTCGCTTTGCGTAACTGGGGTGGCCAGAGGGGTGGTCAAGCTTCACTCTTGGGTGGCACCAGCCACCCTTGGCCACCCCATAGCTCCGCCCCTGCACTTATCAGGGTGCAGGACCCCGTGTAAAAGGCGTGGGTTAAGTCGGGCGTGGTGGTGGAAGTGAAACCGCACAGACAATACACTGTGAAGTGGGATGGCAGTGGCCGCCTGTCGCTGCGAAACCGCCATCACCTCCGCCCCCCGTCCCCAACTGGGGCATCCCCCACGTGCCAGCGCCCCTGCCGTGTGAGACGACACCCATCACACCTGCTCCTGCAGGACTCGTTTGTGGTGTCTCTGCTATGGACAATGAATTCTGACTTATTTTGTTTCACTGGCATTCATATATTTATGTACTGTGTTGTATGTTAGGACAGTTTTGCTTTCTTTTTTGTTGTTGTTTTGTTCTGTGTCACAACTTGCCCGATATAGGTTCCTGTTGGTCCGAGATCTTTTAAAAAATTTTAAATTCAGTTATTAAAATCTCGTGGGGGGTGTAGGGTTTGTGTGTATGCATATGTGTAGGTGTGACTAAAGCAGGTGCGGTATGAGAGTGTGGGCCAAGTCCCAGCAGCGTGGGAGGTGGTTGGCGTGACTCTGCGACGTGTGCGTGACTGACCAGTGAGGATTGAGTGCTTGGGGGAATTAGAAGCCATGCTCTGTAAGGACATCTCACCAATAAAAGCAAGACAACTCTCCACTGTTATTGGACCTCCTACATTACTACAGAGTTATCACCAGCTTTTAGTCACTTATTTAAGTTTTCCTCCAACTTTACATTGCCTTTTACAATCAGCTCTACTCAAAGGGCTTCTTCCAAACCTTTTTCACTGAGACAGAACATGCATGTCACTCACCTGTGCCATGAGTGTTGCCAGTTCCAGTGCAAGTTCACGGGTGATTGGGAATTTTCCATGTTGTATTTGTTGGTTAACCTGGTAGCAGAGTAGTAATTTTTCCCGATCTGTTTCATGTTTTGCAGCTGCTCGGTAGTACAGGCGAGATCTGAGTGAAATGTACACAGTATTAATAGATTAGCTCCAACATTATTATACAAAACTAATCAATGCAAAAAATTTCCACCAAATAAACAGTTTACTTACTTGAAAAAAAGATTGATCTAATGAAAGACAGAAGTTTCAGAACATATTCAACATTTTTAGATGGAGGAAATCTATCTACATACAGTACGTACAGTATATCTAAAAAATAAAAAAAAAGCCATGAGCCACATTTTAATGCAAGTTACACATTAAACTAAATCATATCTATTACATTCTGAAAACTTACAAGATCTAATATCCTGTCAGAAAATACAATATGTACTGTACTTGTAATGTACTAATAGCAGTCTTCCATGGGTTGATTGAGGATCTAGGGCAAACAATTTTTGTCATTTTGGTAAATAGTTGTGCAAATGACGCTTGAAATAATTAAAAAAAATTTTGAGCACCAATTAAAGTGATCCTTCGGTTATGTGGACTAATTGGGAGATGGGGGCTAGCCCAAAGTCTAGACTATCGGAGATACAGTATAGAAAATAATATATTACAGTAGAGTACTGTATATAGTATGTAAAAGATGCACAATAAAATTCTATTCAACCTAAAACAGCATTTACCATATTACCACTATATAAGGCACTTTACCTAGAAGAAGAAGAAGGTTTGTACAAATCTAGTAACATGAAAATAACAACACCTGGCCCCACTACACATGTCACGTGAGTGGTAGTCCCCAAGATAGGTGTGAATAAGTCTTGTTCAATCCAGTTCACTCACAGCTATATTTTGTTACAAGAAATTTTTTATGTAAGCTAATTAGCAAAGAATAAAGGAATAGTGAAGAATGTGGTGGGAGTGACAGCTTTAAGGACAACATACAGGGGTGGATCCAGGAATATGAAAAGGGGGAGGGTCCAAGAAGTTGTGGGTGGGGGAACATGGGGAGCGCAGCGAGCCCACCCAGCTGGTTTTTTTTTTGGGGGGGAACTGTAACGCCCCCACGCCCCCCCCCATTAATTTTTTTTAAATATGACCAATATCATGGGTATTTTGAGGCCATTTTGAAGCCATGAGCACTTGATATTAGGAGATACAGTATTCTGAAGTCAATAGTAAATACTTTTTACTATACAGTGACCCCTCGGTTAACGAACTCAATCCGTTCCAGAAGGTCGTTCGTTAACCGAAACCATTGTTTCAATGGGTTTTTGGGTAATTGGTTCCAACTCACCAAAAATTTCCAAAATTCAACAAAAATGGTAGAAAAGTTCACTTACTTTGAGGTGTGTATGTAGAAGGCTCCTGGATGATGATGATGATGTGCATTTGAAGTGGGAGGTGGAGGAGGAGAAGGAAGAAGAGAAGGCATTGGGGAGAAGTCACCCCATGGCACCATTTCACACATAAAATTTTAGTTCTCTTGGTGTATTTCAAGATTATTTGCTTTAAATCAACACTGCACTGCATTATATATTGTCAATATGTAAAATAAATTTCAAAATGACCAATAATTTGCTTGGAAACACAGAAAAAAAGCATTTAGTTGAAGAGAGTCTCAAGCAAGATGTTACCTCCAGTGAGAACAGAGAGAGACTAACGCCTGTTTGCTGTGTTAAGAGGCTGGATGCCACGCATTAAACTAGTCACTTTACCTTCAATTATGTTCAATAATTGTTAAAATGACTAAAAAATTGAATATTAAACTTTTAAAATTATTGAATAGTATAAACTTCTTGATATTTACTAAAATAGTAAGGAATTTAAGCCCTAGAACCGATTAATATATTGGCGGACTGATACTAAAGCTGGTTGCCCGGTCAGTGCAAGCGAAAACATGTTGAGGTCGGTTCGTAAGAAATTCGTTAACCGAATTTTTGTTGGCGTTAACCGAATTGAAGATCCTTATGGAAGGCAGTTCGTTAACCGAAATTTCGTTACCCGAGGCGTTCGTTAAACGAGGGGTCACTGTACAAAAATGCCTGAGTACAATACTACATTAAAGATAAAATATTGGAATTTTCTGGTGAAAAGGACGAGGTATCCGAACCCCCAAGACCCCCCCCCCCCTTGATATACTGTAGGTTACTAAAATGAGTGTATTATTTTCATGCTACCTGCTTTCTTTTAACTCTCTCTCCTTTCTTTGGACCCATTTAAACATTTTATAGAGGTTAAAAGTTCGAGAAAATCAACTTGCATTTTAGCACTCCTTTTACTTGTCCCATTGACTTGTCTTCACAACCCAAGTACCTAACTCAACCCATATCTTAAGTAGATGGGCATAATAATTATTCAACCTTTCTACCATCAAGGCCGTCATTTCCTTATGCATGATGATACAACCTAGGAAGTGAATTCCATTATATTGTTTAGAACCCTAGCACTAATTCTCATCTGCCTCACAGGTAAATAAAACTCATAAAAGCAATAATAAGATTGAAGAAATAGTAATGTGAATGAAATATGGATAAAGTAAAGTGTTCCAATACATTAGTAAACTCCCACAGAAAATACTGTAAAATTAAGATCAGATAAACATTATGCCTGGAGAAAATACAGTGATCCCTCGGTTAACGAATTACCTTCCAAAAGATTCTTCACTTCGGTTAACGAGCAAATCCCTTGGTTAACGAATTCCTTGCAAATTTTTCCCAACATGTTTTCGCCTGCATTTGGCTGCCCACCAGCTGTAGTACTAGTCCGCCAATACAGAAATCGGTTTTAGGGCTTAAATTCCTTACCATTTTAGTAAATATCAAGAAGGTTGTATTATTCAATAATTTTAAAAGTTTTATAATAAATTTTTAAGTCATTTTAACAATTATTGAACATAATTGAGGTACAGGAAATTAGTTTTTTGCGCGCCAAACAGCCACTCAACACACCAAGCTTGGCGTCAGTTTGTTTACCAGTTCAGAGGAAGGAACATTTTGTTTGAGACTCTTCAACATAAATGCTTTTTTTCTGTTTCCAGTCAAATTATTGGTCATTTTGAAATATATTTTACATATTGACAATATACTGTATAATGCAGTGCAGTGTTAATATAAAGAAAATAATCTTGAATTGCACCAAGTGAACTAAAATTTTATGGGTGAAATGGCAGCATGGGGTGACTTCTCTTCCACCCCAATGCCTTCTCTTCTCCCTTCTCCTCCACTCCCATTCTAATTCCCATCATCATCATCATCATCAACCAGGAGCCTTCTACATGCACACCTCTAAGTAAGTGTACTTTACTGCATTTATTTTTAGTTTGTGGGTAATTTTCGGTGAGCTGGAACCAATTACCCAAAAACCCATTGAAACAATGGTTTTGGTTAACGAGCAACCTTCTGGAACAAATTGAGCTCGTTAACCGAGGGACCACTGTATTAGCAGGTCATTGACCCCAAACTTTGATGCAATATGAGAAAGCTTGGAATCTTTTTCAACAATTTATCAAGTTAACCACTCCAGAATCAGCATTGGTTGACCCTCTGGCTTGGGGTTTTAATATTACTTTGAACCCAAGGATTTATCAAATGCTCACATCATCCTTTTTCATTCAAAGACCCCTCGGCCTAAGAGAATCCCACCTTGGTCTCTGGAAAAAGTTACTAAATTTCTTATAGGGCCTAATTACAATATAAATCTGAACAGGGATAAATTACTCCAGAAGGCAGCCTTCCTTCTAGCAATAGCAACAGGTATGAGAATTGGTGAACTGATTTCAATTTCCAAAAATCCATCATTATTGGTGTTTTCTGAGGAGGATGTTGCCCTTTTTCCTATGGAGATCCTAAGAAAAAATGAAAGGGAAGATTTTCAAGCTCAACCTATTAGGGTAAAATGCCTAATGGATGAAACAAGGTTTCCTCATATATTGTGCCCTGTTAAAAATCTTCAGGAATGGTTAACCAGATTCCCTAATCGAGGCCCTTATGTTTTCTCATCCAGGGATGGTAAGAAATTGTCTTCTAGTCAAATGACAAAATCTTTATCTCAAATAGTGAATCAAGCAGACCCTGGCAAGAAATTTTTGGCACATGACACGCAGGGTCTGTGGCCTTTCTGCGGCATATGAGCCTCAGTCAGATCAAGGAAATGGGCTTTTGGAGGTCTTCAAAATCTTTCAAAGACAGCTTTCTTCATCTATCTCTGAAAGATGCTTCACACGTGGTGGTGCTGGGGTCCCCTCCCCCACCTAGTCAAACTCCACAACCAGGATCTTCTTCCTCATCAGAATAAAGTGAGTATCCTCATTGAGATATGTAAATTAACATTTTACCTTCCGGTAAATGTTCCTAATTTTGGAAATCTTCCAAACGGTTTATAATCATAATCTGGACCTAAGCTAGCGGAGCCTTGTATGCAACATCACCTCCCTCTCCACCTCCTGCTCGGGTATTCAAGCCAGGCGTCGCATTCTGGGTTGAACAAAAAGCTGTTTTTTTCTAAAAAACAGTTTTTGTGATATACTGTAGTCCAGAATGCGACGCAAATAACCCACCCATCTCCACCCCTCGAGAGTTGACTTTTGTGAACTGCTCGCTCTAAGGCAAGAGATGACGGTGGCAGTGCGTATGATGGGGGGTGAGGGAGGGGGTTTCGAGAATTGCAATTAAATGGCAGGTTGCAAAGTGTCCTCCTAATATTACTTATTAAGTAATTATTAGGTGTTTTAATTGCCTGTATGTTGGCCTGGCGAGTTATTGCTAGGCATTAACATACCTAGGTAAAAGCTAGGCATCGCATTCTGGGCTATATCACAAAAACTGGTTTTTAGAAATAAAATTTTTTTTTTTTTTGGTGTGTCTTTACTGGATGGAAATAAAATAATGTCCCTATATTCAAGTCTTGAGCCCCCACCCCCTTTCGGGAAACAAGTGTGGAGGCGGTGGGTTATAACTGCATTGCTGATTCACCAGCCCAGCCGCTGTATATTGTTGCATGTAATGAAACTACAAAATTTGAAGAAAAATCATTACAATACAGTACTCTTATGTACCTTAGAAATAATATATAATATAAAACTATAAAATAAGAAAATGCAAAGCATGAGTGTGTATGTGTGGGTGTGTGCGTGGAAGTAAATGTGTGTGGAGGCAGTGGGCTATAACTGCGTGGCCATACTACATCCCAATGTGACGTCATGGTCTGAGTGTGGAAGGAGCTATTTTCTGCACATAAAATTTGTTCTATTTTATTTTATATGTTATGTTATGTATCAATTTTACTGTTTATCATAGCAATAAATATGGCAACTCATCCTGTTGCAAGAAGTATTCAAACTTACAATTCTAGTTGATTTTGAAGAAATGTTTATTTCTATTACCTCACATTGGTGATGGTTACCCGGACTACAAATAACCGGGATTCTACTGTATATAATTCACCATGCTGGAAGTATAAGGTACTTTTGGATACAGAATAAGACAATTACCATGAAAAGTTGTAACAAGTAATATTTGCATGACAACTTACTTGTAAAGAAGGCGTATGACTTTAGTATTTTCAAATTTGCCAGAACCCTTCTCTCTTAAAGCAGTTTCCCACTTGGATATAACATCACAGAGCTGAAATAATAACTTCATTAGTTTTAATTATAAAAAAATTATCTCATTACTTACAATGAAATTATTTGGTTAACTCTTTTTGTTAAATTACCATACCAGAAATATTAAAGACTTCCACACAAATATACAAAGTTCAACTACAATAGCTTTTCATACAGTTCGTATACTGTACTACCTAAAGATAAGCTTGTAATTAAACTTTTATTTAATCACAGCAAACCCTCAATCTTTTTCAATGTACCTCCCAAAGTTCCCTCTTGTTCAGGTTAGTTGGTAGTTAACTGAAAAAGTTACCAAAAACATCCTTTGAGGTGGGAACAAAGTACTGTAGTTGGTAATGTTCAAAAATATTTTTAAAAGCCCACCCTTGCATTGTTCATTACTACCGGTACTAAAATATTATACTCCTAGAACTGTACTGTACTGTATTTCCTAAAATACCTTCGAAGTTCAGCTTAGTTGGCAGTTAACACTAAAAGCAACTAATCATCAATAGTGATATACTGTAATTATCATTGTTTTTTGTGGTTATCAATGGCATCATTGAAGAATTAGTTAATGACACAATTTGTGAAGAAATTGTACCTTATCATTCATTATATGTTAAGGACACTGGATTGTACACTTGGAGTGGCAATTTTAATATTAGTACAGTATTGGTGTTGGTTCTTTTATCCTTTATTTGTTTCTAATTCATTGTTGTTCAAGTAATTATGGATGTAGTTAGTTATGGTATAAGAATTATATAGCTGCATTGGTTTTTTGGTGTACACTGATGCCGTTTTATTTTGGTAGTCGCAAGCAGTTTCCTCATGAAGAATGATTTATCAGTCACCATACAACCATCACACTGCTAACAACGACCTTCCCTGACCAGAACCATCCTGACCATGGGTGGAACACATTCAATTCAATCTAATATGATGAGTATACTTCTGTTGCACCTTATATGTTGAATATGTTCACGTAATTCAACATAGCATGAAGATATATGCATATTTATGTTAACCAATTACTCTGCAATTAATCTTATACAGTATGACCGGTATGCTTATTAGAGTCAACTTGAGTTATTCATTAGGTATTCTTAAATTTGTCATATACCTCACTATTGACAAGTTCTATACATAAATATCTAGTATAGAAGCGAGTGATATATCATGAAGAAAATCTGAAGACATATACATTTACTGTACACATGTCAGCTACTTCTGTGACTGTTTCACATGGATCAAGGAGGAGGAGGGAGGAGAAAATACAAAAGATATACAGTGCAATATAATGAAAAAACTGACAAAAAAATTATGCCTGATAGTGGAAAGCATTTAGCACGATAGAACACAGTTGTTAATAAATCAAACTAGGCAGACTACACTCACCCTATGGGAAAAAGAACATGTTGATGAAATAAAAAATATGAAAAAAAAAAAATTTTTGAAAATAATCATTCCACAAAAGTTATAACTATTTAATATGCTTCACCACACAATCAAACTTTCATAATTTTTGTATTACTAACCTTTGCATTACGATTCAAACAATGTTCTAAATCCTTTTCAATTGGATCATCAGAGAAGAGAGCAAATCCAGATTGGTGAACATCACGACAACCAATCTCCTGGTTTAGTGATGAGAGGAACTCATCAATGGTTGTAGAGCCATCAAAGCCAATGACCTGTAAACAAGTTGATGGGATGAAGAATCTTATAAGGTCATTCATCATTTTACTGTTGTATCCATCTACATCCTTACAGCCATAGTCCCACTGGGAATTTCCAGTGCTGGGAAAGGGGAGATGTCTGTGACAGAAAATCCCTCATACTCCTACATCTAAACATATCTTTCTAACCACCTGCCACTTCCTTTACACCCTTAACTGATCTTTATATGAAAAAGCCAAAGTGGGTCCCAGAACACTAAACTAAGGCCTTTTATACAAAATGAAAGATGCATTAGTAATTGGTATAATGCAGACAAGGACAGCAGGAGGGAGAGGGAAGATCATGATGGAGACAAAAGGAGGAGGTGAAAGAAAAAAGCCCCCTCCCCCCCCCAAGTTCGCGGATTTTTATTTCGCGGTCCTCTATTATTCGCGGATGACACACTGGATGTACCCATGAATGTCGGTTGGTAATTTTAAAGTTGCCAGCATTTTTGCGGCTGGGACAGGGAGCCATTCGTTCTAGAGACAGTAATTTTCTTTACCTGTACATATTGTATACAGGTGCTCCTCTACTTCAGAACGTTCAACTTACAAACTTTCAGAGATACAAACATCATCACTGAGGGGAGGCAAGCACAAAGGGAATATACAGTACATTTCTTTGTACATAAGTAAAAATGTACCCCCGTCCGCAAATGTTATTCGCAGACTTGGCGATTTGCGGCCATTTTGAGAACCTAACCCCCATGAATTTGGGGGGACCCCTGTATCTGTATTAGACATAAGAGGTATGGACATCCAGGAAGCAGTAGTCCACATGAACGACAAAGGAGCATAGCATTATGGGGTTGTCACAGCAGTCAAGAGTGGATGGTATTGTCTGAATGGGGAATCTGCACTTTCTCTGGATTCTAACCAGGTTACCAAGCTGCTTAATAGGAAAAGGCTATGTGATGTTATTTTCAGTCTGTAGGTAAGTATGTGTTTAAGAGCTCTCACTTTGGTGGTGTGTTGGAAATAAAGACTTGTGTATGGACAGTCGTTTAAATAGTTATGTAGTTATTATGATGTCAAGAGGAACTGTCAATCTGGGTGGCAGGAAGCACTGCCATGCCTCAGTTTTATATAGGTTGTCTAGTCCAAAAGTCCTATGTGTAGCTGTAATCAAGCAGATGTGAACAAAACTAAATATAAAGTGAGCAGCCAGACATTTGGCCACACACTAGCACTAAGTCTTCATATTCAGGAAGAGGTTTGTCAGATTTATAAAAACTATAACAAAGTCTTTGATTATTTTTTCAACTTGATTTTCTACTGTACAGGTATCCCTTGAGATATGAATACTTGTGATACAAAAATTCGCTTATAAGAATTTCCTAAATTTCCACTATTTCGTGTTATCCTTTTACATATTCAAAAATTTTCTGTCTTTCAAAATTGTTCTGACCGTTGAATGGCTGAAACCCAATGCTTTACCAATCACTGAGGGTGTTTCACCTTTTTCAGAATGCTTAATACATCAACTTTCACTTTCACTGTAATTGTTTTCCTTTTCTTGGATGCACTACTATCACGTGCATCAGGTTTGCATTTGGGAACCACGATGAGGGCTGAAAAAGCGAGTTAATAAGCAAAAAACAACAGTTTGCACTTGATCACGCACGTTTAAGCAGGTGAAGGTAAAGCATACCGACGCTCCCGCTCCCTCAAAGCATGTGACTGAGTGTGACACATCACTCCCCATGCGCTGTCCCGCCTCCCCTCTATGCCGCGCAAAGTAGTTCTTGTACATAACTGCTATGAACCAGTTGTACTTATGTCAAATTTTTTAAATAATTGACCTTAAGGGACCTCAATAGTACCAGAGGACATTCGTAAGTTGGGGACCCCTGTATACATAATATTGGGTATGCGCTTTTATCAAGATGATGTTATCATACAAAATCAGAAATATATATGGGTGAGGGAGTGGACATGATGGGAAGGAGGCCCTAGGAGGATTGTCTAAGAAATGGGGGGCCCCAACCATGATCTTGCAGAGAGCCCCTCAGAAGGTAGAGCCGACCCTGGTCAAAGACAAAGGGAGTAAATATTTCTTTGTATGTGAGAGCAAGGGAGAGAGCTATACGGGTTGGCAGAGGCGGCCAGGCTGGTTGTCATGGCAATGTTTGATGGTGGCCACATGTGAAGCAGTCGGTGTTTATGCTATTGGTGCCCCTGGTGGCTGTGAACTGGCCCTTTAACCGTGGATTCTTTCTGGGTTAATGGGGCTGGAACATGTAAAATTATATAGGGTTTTAGTAGCGAAACCCAATTGTCCTTTCTGTATTTATTGAGAAACTATCTCATACAGTATACAGTTCCAAGTGTATTAAAATGAGGACGGAGGCTACATTAAATAGCTCTTCTAACTACGTCCGGTTGGTGTGAAGTGTTGAGTGACAATGCCGCAGGCAACCGGCTTTTAAATGCTGACCTTAACAGTCTTACTGCCGCACCTCAAGGAACTTGCCCATCACGTGATGTGACCATGTCACCTCATAGCCAGTGAAAGTTACAGGGAGTGATAGGATTATATAAACCCAATGTACTGCCCTGACATTTATATAAGAACTAAGGGGCTAATACAGCTGTGTTAAACTTTGATATAGTTTTCCTTAGTTTTAGCTGTATCTTTTCATCTAAATAGTATTTTATTGTTTTTAATGTGTTAGGTAGTAAATTACATTAGTTCTGTACTATTTATCATTAGTTAGTTTTTTTCTAGTTTGTGAACCGATTTTGTGTTTTTGGGTATGATATTGGGATATTTTTGTCATTTGGGAGCTGAACCTTATTTTTCCCATATGTTTTTCCATTCGAGACACGAAAACTCACCTAACGAATATTTTTTGGGAACCTAACCCATCTGTGTCTCAAGGGATGCCTGTATCATAAGTAATTTGAAAGAAGAATCACTGATTACAGTTCAGTAGAGGTAACAGAAGCATAATTAATGATTAAGATAGTGTAAATCATTCTTCCATTTACCTGATAGGTTCCATTGATGAAGTGGACGGGTATAGCATGGGGTAAGGAGTGGTGATAGGGATTCTTCAGTAAAATAGAAAGGACTTCCATTCGAGATGGCTTTGCCTCTCGGCCTCCATGCTCTAGAGTTCTTTCTAACGCACGCTGGCAATATGCAGCATACTTCCCTGCCTCAGTTCTGTTGATGAAAATATTTTCAATTAATATATTTTATACATTAATTGAGAGGAAAGTGTTTCTGTTGAGGTAATCAAGAAGTTCATTATTAACAATGAGAAGAAGAATAAAAGGTTAAAAGCAATTTTTCATAAAACTGGCAACATACTTATGTAAAAGACTCTTCACTCATATGGCAATATACAGAGAAATAATGTTCCTTTAGTCTTTGTAGACAAACTCACTTAGTATCAGCATTTCTCTCCAGATGAAGTTTGAGATACCATAAAAGTTTGCTATTCTTAGGCACAAACAATGAGACTGCCAGGGCAAGAAACTGCCAACCCTGGATAAATGTAAAAGATGGTGGATTGATCTTTGGGTCTGCTGGGAGAGGCTGGCCACTTCCCAAGGTTGGTGAAGCCTTCTGTGCTCCCGAAGAATCACACAGGAATAGTGATTGTGTGGCACAAAGAAGGAGGTTCTGGTAAAAGAGAAAATTGTATGAGAGGTGCATGAAAATTTATAACAAACCAAGATATATTGACAATGTGGATAAAAAAAGAGTAATAGGTTATGCCAGCTATGAACTTTCTCTAACTCCAAAGTTATTCAATGTTTAGGATAGGTCTGTATTAGAAAACAGTGTCCTATATAATTATTTTTCAAAGTACTTATGACTGATTGTGAACTCAAGATACAGAGGAACCTTACAATATCACAGCTCTTTACCGGTATGTTAAATCCACCAGATTTGTGCTATGAATTACATGATGTATTTACATTTTCTTAAAAGCTTTTAAATGCAGGTAGAATACAGTTACAGCACCATACTAGTTACCCACAATCCAGTTTCTCTCTCCCAATTGCATTTTCTTTTTAATCCTTCAAGAAATGTAAGATAATCATGCATGGTGAGTGTCATCATGGGGGTGGTGAAACTCCTGTTAATGATACTTAACATGCTTAAAAATGGTTATCCTACACTTCTTCAGCTCAGGCAGGCTACCAGTTACATAACCTGGACTTGCAATGGGAAGCAGTTTTGTACCTTCAAACAAAATACAGTTAAAACACAACAACCTAAAATTAGACCACATAACCTGGCCTATAAGGTATGGAACAAAATCACAGAATAAGGTAAAAGATGAATTGAAATGGATATTAGATAAAAAAATAAATGGAACAAATTAGTGGTGATCAAGAAACATACAATAATTGTGTATCAAGAGATATAGTCATTTCCACACAGCAAATGAAGTAATTCATTTAGGGACATTATCTATTTTGATTTTCAGCCACAGCACACTTCCTAACCATACCAGTCATGATGCATAGATACTCATGAATCAGAAGCATTACTCTGTTCTTTATGAGAGTGACATTTTTACTTCTAAATATAGTACTGATAATATGTTGCAATACCACGATATAAACAACTAAAATATGGGACTGTGATGACCACATTTATTTCTTTATAATTTAATCGTTAACCTCTTGACTGCAATTGGCTGTGATGATGATGAACTGTTTTCCTTTGTACCCTGTAATTGTTTTTATGAATATTATAAAATTAGTGTACTGAACAGCATGCATATCTTAAATATAATATTGATGTGTAATTTCTGTATGGTATAGTATATGAATAGAGTAAAGTTATAATTCTAATTTGTAAATAAACAAAGCTTCAGTACGCTTCAGTATTGGTATAAATACCATGATCTACTACTTACTGAAAAAGTACTGAAATTAGACTAAAATTATTCCACTTTCACAATTTAATGACATCTGATACCCTAATAAATGAAAGATTAATCCATAAATCACTTTTTCCAATAAACTGCAGCCAGTCAGTTCTTGTTACTGCCCAGGCCAACTTTGGGAAATGGTCCACCATGCCATGCTCCCTTTAACAGTTAAGAGAGTGATGTTACAGTTGCCCATCACATTCCTCAAAACAGACATATTACTGTACAGTATATGCAAAAGCAAAAGGTGTCTTCTATAGACAGGAAGTCGAATTAGAGCTGAGCTACATGGTCAGCACAAGTACAGGTATTGCCATTGTTACAGGTTGCTGACTGTAATTCCAAGGCCAGTCAGCCAATTTGCTTGTCTTCAGCATATTAACCTTAAATCCAAGATGGGGGAGAGTATGTGACCCACCTGGCTACAGGTTGTGTGAGAAAATAATTTTTCATAAACAATTCTCAATTTCTAGCTTGACATATTCTGCCAAGATTACTGAAAGTCAGTTAGAACAGTGGGAGAAGGGATTATAAAAACTTCAATGACTAGGTAGAAAGATACAGATTCCAACAGACCATACTCAAAAAATTTTACTCTAAAAAGGAAGTGCTGCTTTCATAAGATCCAGCCTATAGACAAATCCCAAATGGTTTGAATTGTCAACCATGGCAGGCAAATCCACAGGGATCAACCCCCTAGACAGCAAATCTGGGGACCAATTTTTTTAGATCTCTCTCTCTCTCTCTCTCTCTCTCTCTCTCTCTCTCTCTCTCTCTCCAAAAAATGTTTCTTGAATGTTCCAAGTTAAGAATTATGTTTGGCAGTAACATGGCAAGAAAACTTAGTTGCTGCACAGACAAATACACCTGTACTCTGGAAACTGCTCATAAAGGTGCTTAGGCCAAAGAAGGAGGATGTAATGAAGCCTTCCCTCCCCTCCCCTTCACTCACCACTTTATTGTTGCTGCTGTAAAAGTGTCCACTCCAAATTACAATAAAGGCTTTGTTATTTGGCATACAAGTGGGGGGTAGGAGGTGCCAGTTAATTGTATACATTATACATGGTGTACTCACCAATCAAACAATAGTAGCATTGTAGTATTCTTAATTCTTAGAGGCTTTATGCACTATAATTTTACATTTACAGTACTGTACATTGAATCTAATATGGGTAGTCATTTAGTGTACAGTACACTCTTCCAAAAAGTATCCCCCCCCTCCCCCCGGCCTGATGTATTTGGAAATGAACACAATAACATGTGCACAGCTGATTTATACACCTTAATTACTATTTCAGCCTCAGGGGATGCTAGGAAGGCAGGCCTACCAACATATTGCAGGAATCACAATTAGTTATCGGAAATATTCGTCCATTGTAACATATTGTATCAATGAGAAAGGGGGCCAGTTCTTTTTTGGGAGAGTGTACATCACTACAGTGGAGCCACAATAATTCGCAAAATTTAAATTCATGTTCTTAAACTTGCAGGTACCTCTAGTACAGTAGGGTCCCAGAGTACGTGAGTTACGTTCCAGGGATCCCTGCATAAGAGGCAAATTCTCAAATATTTGGGTCCCCCTGTATATACTGTACACACATAAGCCCTTTTTTATACTATGATAACTGATGTGCAACCTCAGAGTTTGATGTGCATCTCCTTAGTAGGTCCAATATTTTGATTTTTTCTTTAAAAGTTCTCACAGCATTGGCTTTTTATCACTTTCACCACCACCAGTAAAGAAACAATTTGAGTACAAACATCTGGGAGATGTTCACAGAACAATTGTGAGAGAAAGAAGGATGCCTTGGCAATAATTACATCTACAGTACCATAAATACACCTTAACTGTACAAACAAACATAAATATTAAGCCTATGGTACCAAACAAACACTGTAAATACACAGGTACAGTATAGTCTTCATTTATGCGGTCAATTGAACCCGTGGAGGTCCGCGTAAAACGAGGAACGAGTAAACGAAATAACAGAACATATGGGATTAATTGAAATAGAGACTGGGCCGACCCCCAAACTACACTTTTTCCAACACAATACGTACAGTACGTTGTAGTAAAAATAACATCTTAATTTTATGATGGTATGCACACACAATTAATATTTAAGAGAAATATCAATAATATTAGGTTTTTTAACACTTACGTTAGTAGGAAAGATGGCTGGGCACACGGAGATGGGGGGTTGGTTCCGAGGCAGAGGGCATATTATTGGCCCTCACCTGTATCACTATCCACCACAGAGGCTTGCAGGGCCTCTTTGTCAAACCCCTCAAAGTCCATATCCTCACTATCACTATTACTATCACTCACTGGGCCGGCTGTGGTGGGTGGCGGGTGAAGAACGCGGTAATGTTTTGATGACTGGGCGACCTTGTGCGCACCCTGCCTGCGCCGCTTCCCGCGTAAATTATGAAATTTACCGCATAATTAAAACATTTCATTCTGGCAAAGTGCCACATAAATGACCAAACGCGTAAACAAAAACCGCGTAAATCCACACCATACTGTACGTACAGTAAACCCTCGAAGATCCGGACCCAGGAAATCCGAATTTCGTAAGATCCGAAACAAAAAATTTGGGTGGTCTGGTCTTAGAAGCCTCCTAGAAGTTTCCTTAAGAAACACTCCAAAACTAGAGCAAACAACATTTTAGGCCCGTGGGCGCTGCTTGACCGTCAGTTGCTTGGACACAGGTGCCCGAGGAGGTGGGGAAACAAACAGAATTGACAATTGTTGTTTGTGGGAATATTATTTCATTTACTTTATTAAAGATACAATGTTTCTTATTATGTTATCATAGGTAAATTCATTGTTTATATACGGTAATTACTTTACCACTACATGAGTACTGTATTTTTTGTGTTTCTTTTATCATTTATTGTTCGCGGGAAAATTCGGACAATTGGCTTTTCCGGACAGGTGCCCCTCCCCCCCACTTAAGTCCGGATCTTCAAGGGTTCACTGTACTGTACTATAAAAAACAGAATACAGCCTGTCTTTATAATTCGTGACCTTGGATTATATTGGTCATAGGAGTGACTTGTATAACACTAACTTACAAATAATTATATAACATTTATGAGTCATATTGATTAAATTTGGGAGAAAATGCTTTCACCCTTATTAATTATTATTATTACTTTGTGTTATAATGATATAATGTGACTCATAGTATCCTCCTAGTTCAGATGAGTGATGTGCAACTGGAGGATGAAGGTCAGGACTCCGGGCCTATGGATAATGGAGGAGACTATGGAACTGTCCCTGAGGAGATACTATTGAGTGATGAGCTACAAGGACTAGAAAGTTCAGCTCAGGCAATACATTCAAGGAATTGTCTGTCAGTAGAGAATTTGAATTCAGTAGTAGTAGTTTCACCCAAGACCCAAGGGAGCCATACTACATGTAATTATAATAAATGTAAAGTGACTTGGATTACTAAGATAGATCCTCATGTGGCTTGCATAATTCATGGCAGCTGTGTCTCAAATAACCAATTTTCACCAATGGATTGTGCAGTTTGTTATGATCAAGTTTTTTAATTTCATGAAGCTACAGGTGATAAGAAAGATTTATTGCAATTACAAATTAAAAATAGGTGGAATAAGGCCTTGAGGAGTAAATTTTTGAATGTACAACAATGGAAAGATCCCAAGTTGGCAGAAAGTTTAGGATTATTGGTGTTAGGTAAAAGACTTAATCCCCACTTAGACAAGA